CATAAAATAAAATATCAATTTTACCATACTGCTTCATAAAATAAAATACCAATTTTACCATACTGCTTCACAAAATAAAATACCAATTTCACCATACTGCTTCATAAAATAAAATACCAATTTTACCATACTGCTTCATAAAATAAAATACCAATTTCACCATACTGCTTCATAAAATAAAATATTTGTTTTTTTTTGCCTGTATAGACTGGGGACCTTACCTTGAGTTGAAATCATGAGGAGATTGGTTGTGAGCGGTCCCCAGTTATTCTGTTTTTGCTGCATTCTTGCCCAACCCCAATTAAATGTAAGAATATCATTGACTAACTGCAAGCTTTTCAGAATTTTTTCATTGAGAGGCTCTTGCATGTACAGCCTGTAAGAAACACATCCAAACCATTTTCCTGAACACATTTTTGTGACATCAACAATTATAATGTTTGAAAATATAAAAGGTGAATATATATAAACAGTGTGTATGATGAAAGAAAAAAAGTTAAGGTGAATCACTTTATCAATAATGACTCAGAACTGAGAAACCCTTTTGTCTCCTTTTGCTTTTTGATGTGGATTCACTGTGCATTAAAGAAAAATCTAAAACAGATTAATAAAATAACAAATTTTACTTAGATTAAGGAGTGTTTTCACAAGACATTATATACAGATTGAAAAACCACACAAAAGCTAAGAAACTACTCTCTCTTTCAGTTTAAGCTATTAACCATTTGGCATGTGCTTTGAATTTGAAAGATAATTTTATCGTGAATCATCAGAGTAACAGCAAAAAAGCCCCCCCAGTGACACAGCGGTATGTCTGCGGACTTACAACACTAGAATTTGGGTTTCGATACACGTTGTGGCAGAGCACAGATAGCCCATTGTGTAGCTTTGTGCTTAATTACAAACAAATAAACAAAACAGCAAAAAATGTCATTGTTGTATAGGCAAATTTATAACATTTAAGAACAAGGGACTTGTTGGTTCATCTAAGCTAAACTATTAAAAAAAAACCTCAAAGCCAGCTCTTATCATTCAAATATTTACCAAGTCTTCCCTTAAACTCCCTTAAATTTGCCACTTCCACCACCTTTGAAGGTAACCCATTCTTAAGCCAAACTACCAATAAAAATAAAACTATCTCAGCTTCAGATGACTCTTATCCTGACAAAATGTTTACTTATGTCCCCTAGTCCTACCATTGCCACTGTAAGTATTAAAAATATGATGCATTCACACTATCAATTCCCAGTACAAGCCTAAACTCTTCATTCAAATCCCACCAACTCTTTCAAGAGAAAACAATTTCAGAGATCTTAACCTGACCTCATATGCCGACCTTTTTATCCCAGGTATCATCCTACTAGCTCTCCATGGATAGGGGACTCAACTCTCAACCTGAAGATTGTGGATATGAATCATTGAACAAGCACACTATTTCAGCAATGGGGGCATTATAATATGGTGATCAATCCCATTATTCAATTAGACTGGCCAAAAAGTTGGTAATGGGTAGTGTAGACCAACTGCCTTCCCTTTAATCTATCACTTCAGAAATAGGCAATGCTTAATGCAGATAGCCTTCAAGTAGCTTTGCATGAAATTCAATAAAACAAAATTCTATATTCTTCTTAAGGTAAGAAAATCAAGATAAAACACAATACTCCAAATTTAGCCTAACCAGTGACCTACACAATCATATTATAACCTCTTACATATGTTATTAATATTCTGTAGATACAACCTAAAATTGTATCTGCCCTTCCACTAGCAACAGCACAATGATTAGATGGCTTAAGAGAATGATCAACAAAAACTTATGATAATTAAAATCTATTTGTTTCATACCGTTTATCTCCTTCTTTCCAACTTTTCAGACGCTTTACAAACTCCTGGAATCTCATCACTATCTGTTCAGTTGGTGGAGAGAAATCATTATCACATTTCTTAGTCTGATTGGCATCAAAATACTTAAACTTGTGAGTTTTAGACAAGTAAACAGTACAAGGACTGTCTCCCAGATTTTCTTGAAGATAGTGACTATCCCACTTCATGGCCGAACCCACTAAGTTAGTGTCAGTCAGAACCACAGGCTTCTGTTACATCACAAAAAAAAAAGAATGAAGGTTATATACCTATAAAAATATATCATCAACAACCCCAAAGTAAAGTTTTCCTTTGATTACTTTCTAAAGTTTAAAATCTAATCATTAGTTTTCCAGCTTACAACGCATTTCAATGAATTCCATAAAAAAACAGTGCTTTGGTGATAATAGCACCAGTAATAATGCAAAGACGGTAAAAAACTGGTATGGTACAAAATGCATACACATATCCAAAACTGTCACATTGTAAATTTACAATACTTACATAATAAGATATTTTCACAATTGCATTGTTATTCGTTAAATTTTATTATTTTCTGAGGTGCCATTATTACGGATTGTGGTATTCTCAGGTGCACTGATTTATGTTTTGGATAATAACTGCAAAAAGTATCACAGAGTTAAAGTAAGTTATGACTTTGACTGAAATGAAGACAAAAAAAAATTAGTTTGAACACAGTATGTAACAAAGGGCAAAAATATATAAATTTAAAAACAAAAAGTGACAAGCGCAAAGATCGAATGGACAGCACTCACACTGGAGATATGAAAATATTCTTTAGAGATTCTGTCCCAGACTAAGAGAGCATAGGATATAAAATTGTGTAATTCTGTTCCTTACAGTAGGCATATACTTCCACATCAATGATGATTATTCCAATAAAAAAATTTGGAGTATTCACATGGTACATTGTTTTAATCACCGTTTGCTCACCCAATAAAAGGGCGCGTTATTTTATTCACCACTCCAGATTTATCGGTGAGCCGGAAGTACAACCACCATGACGTCTGAGGAGATTAAAACAACACTTTCAGGAACAAACAATAACGACTAGCAAAACTAGCATCTAAAATCAGTGAAAATATAAAATTAAACAATAGTGACACCAAATCATTCTTTGGCTAGATTCGTTATTTTAAATCTCCTTCAACCTTTTCTCTTCAGCAGTTAACTGTTTTAAACTTTATAACACTGTAACGACAGCGGAAGTCACGCTACGCTGGGAGCATGCGCGCTGGAGTTTCTCGAAGGATTATGAATTTGACTGCCAGCTCGAGTGTGATTTAGATGCCCTCTTTTTTAATATATATATAAGCCTGGCAAAGAAAGCCAGGGGCAGAAAGATAATTGAGTCAAGCGAACAGTAGGCACCGTAAGTAAAGTGTGTGTGAATCACTGTGATTTATAGCGTGTGTTATAAAGGTTGTTAAGTAAAGCGACGAGAAAACGTATTGACTGTGAAAATTCTGTGTATCACAAAGTTTGTATCGAGGAAGAATAAACTGAGTTAATCAAGAAAGGACTTGTATTGCTGAAGTTTCTCGGAAAGAATTTATACCGGAAATTAACAAATTGGTGTCAGAGAGTGGGACCGAAAAAAAGAAAGAAAAGAAGATGGAAACGAGAAGTGGCAAATCAAACTGCAGCTTAGCAGATGTGATGGCAGCAATACAAGAACAGTAAAAGAAACAAGAAGAATGAGTAAAAGAAACAGGAAGAGAGATTACAGCAGTTGTTGGAGGAAAAAGAAAATAAACATAAAGAACGAGAAAAGAAACACGAAGAGAGACAACAGCA